TTTTCATTTCACAAGACATTAATCGATGGAGTGGATTATTGTGATGTTTTTATCAGCTGTTTGGACTCTCATTCTGACGGCACCCATTCACTGCAGAGCATCCACTGGTGAGCAAGTGATGCAATGCTACATTGAAGAAACAAACTCGTATACATCTTGGACGGCCTGATAAATGTTAAAATGATTATGATTGCGTAAGCATTTACTAAACGCATCTACGGTGCTTTAGAAGGACAGGAGTTTGTTGGTAACCTATGCGTGATCAGACAGGAGTCGCTCAGAGGAGGCCGCAGGACTTGGGCGGGCGGAAGGGGTTGTCGCTGGATGGCACGCCCAACAGCAGCGGGTCTTTATGGGCGTTCTGCAGGCAGAAGTTCTTCAGGTCTGTGGCAGCTTGAGAAACCTAGAGATTACAATTAAGACGACATGTTTAACGATATCCATTGAGTGCACACACCCCTGAGCTTTATTCCTGTCTATATTTTCAAGGTTTTTACAGAGGGGTTGAAAACAAGGATTCTGAACCTGGCTTTATTTATTTATGTTTTAATGTCATATCCGCAACAATGGCTATATTCATGGTAACATTAACAATATCAATTCAATGCATTTACAATAATATAACATTTTCTTAAGAAACAATCATTATACAAAAACAACAAGAAACAACAATAGTACTGATAAAAATCATATACAATCTTTCAGTTTAATCAGTGACTGAACCTGGCTTTATCTAACGTTCAGGATTCTGTTCTGGAAATGTATGCAAATTAGTGCATATTTAATGCATAATTTACACATTTAAACATAACATTTCAAAAGACTTTAGAACAATCGTCTTAATGTACTGCGATCAATCAACAGGTTTTTTAACCTGTTCACTTGCACTACATTTATGGTTGAAATAAGCTTTCTATAAGTTCTGATTGCTTCTGAGCATTAAACTAATGTAAATCTGTTTTTCTCTCACTTGACCAGTGTTCCTGTCCTACTTTTTGAGCATTAAAAAAAAAAAAAAAAAAAAAAAACCCACACAGGCCTATGGTGGGCAACTACCAGTCTATGATACAGCCTACAGATATAGATCTTTGCAACATTGCTAAATCAGCTTAGGGCATGAGCTAGGGGTGGGGAATATAACCAAAATATTATTCAACGCTAGGAGTAATTTTATTCCACAATAACCGTTTTTAAAAGCGGGGTAACGCGATACCTTTTAGTTCCGGTATATCGTGTAACACTACTAGCAAACATTGCATTAATAGTGAAATTTATTGCACCGTATTATAAAGCTAAAAATAAATAAAAATTGCATTTTCGTATTAAAGTGGTCTTTAAAATCCTGTTTTTGTTCGCAGTCAGTAACGCACACAAAAACAAATAGTTTAGTTTGGACACATTCCAAGGTTTTACAATTCTCTTTAAAGTAACATACTAATCAACATAGTATTGAAATCTGATACCACCGCTGTACCATTGTAGCACCAGAGCGTTAGTTCTGTGTTTGCATATATCTGAATTATTAATGAGCACGGGGAACAACATCTAACAGTTGTCTGAACTTTAAGCCTAAAATACGCTTCTGGCAGTGTAAGACTCGTATAAAACACTTTAAACGCATCTCGGAGAAGCTGTGACGCTAAAAAACTGAAACTATTTACCCACACACGAGTTAAAACGCGTTTTAAGTGTTGTTTTGTCGGTTAGCGTTAGCACTAGCAGTAACTCAGCCCGGCTAAACTCATCCACAAACTCTCAAAATCCAAAACTCTTCCAGGTTTGTTGTTGAAGTTGACATACGTACGTTAATTCGTCGTATTTTGGCCTCTAGTCTGAGCTGTTTGACGGCTTTCTGCGCCACAGCCACACTGCTGCTGCTAGCGTTATTGTTGGACATGATGACTGACCGAGTGACTCCAGAGAGTTTGCGGAAGTTTGAGGAACGCGCATCTAAACCTGAACATACCGCATAGGCGTTTAAGAGCTATTTTATATACACATAATACGTTTTAGCATTAAAGATAGAATACTAAATCTACTTTTTACTTTATACCGTTTTTACAAATGGAGGCTTTGTCAGATTTAACTCACTTCAGGGGACAAAATTGTCCCCAAAGACAAGTATATTTGAACGCATGCGCAGACGGCCACACAGTCTGTGGAAACAAAGCACATCACTTTTGTATACAAGTTTAAAAGAAGTCATATAAACAGGAAGAATGTGTTATTATTATATTATCTTTCATAATCTCTTGAGAATTGAATTCTGTTCCAGGGACACAAAATATGACATTGTGACACACACTCTCAGAAAAAAGCTGTCACTGGGGGCTACCTTTTCAAAAGTTACTGATATGCCCCCGTTATGGGTAAATATGGTACAAATGTGTACCTTTTGAAAAGGTACTGCCCTAGTGACAACTTTGTACTTTTTTCCCCCCTGAGAGTGTAAGACATTGTGGTCTAAATATGGCTCGGGCCCCTCCTTCAATGTAAATTTTTTCCTTCTTTATCATTTCCAACAGATGCAGTCTACTCATTTTGAGGTATCAATTAAGTCCTTGTCAAAAACACTGGGAAATCTACACTGTAAAAAATGATATGATGAAAAAGCCATGACAACTTATGTTTTTAAGTTACTTTAACTCATAAAAATAATTTAAGCAATTTCAACTTTTTTATATAAGTTATACTAGATTCAACTTGATTTAAGTCAGTTTAATGTTTCTGAAATTCAAAGAGCCCAATTTAGTTCAGTGAACTTAACATTTTAAGTTGTAGCTTATTGGCACTAACCGGCCAAATCTCTGAACATGGATTCATGCGCAGGAGTCAAATTTGTACATGAATTTAATATCAGAGTCCTTTCCAAGAAAAAAAATATTCAGCACTGTGGAAACTGTGGAAACAAAGCACATCACTTTTGTATACAAGTTTAAAAGAAGTCATATAAACAGGAAATTATTATATTTATTATATTATCTTTCATAATCTCTTGAGAATTGAATTCTGTTCCAGGGACACAAAATATGACATTGTGACACACACTCTCAGAAAAAAGCTGTCACTGGGGGCTACCTTTTCAAAAGTTACTGATATGCCCCCGTTATGGGTAAATATGGTACAAATGTGTACCTTTTGAAAAGGTACTGCCCTAGTGACAACTTTGTACTTTTTTCCCCCCTGAGAGTGTAAGACATTGTGGTCTAAATATGGCTCGGGCCATATTCAATGTAAATTTTTTCCTTCTTTATCATTTCCAACAGATGCAGTCTACTCATTTTGAGGTATCAATTAAGTCCTTGTCAAAAACACTGGGAAATCTACACTGTAAAAAATGATATGATGAAAAAGCCATGACAACTT